GTCTCACCATGTATCCTCCCCCACATCGTGTATTGGCCTTTCACACCACAGCTTCAACATAGTTTGTAAGAACTCAACCCATTTGGTGAAAAACAATGACAACATTATAAGCTGTAATCGCAACAGGAAATTTTGTACCATTGTGCCTTTCACTATACATGTTTTGAAAATAAGATGTGGCATAGACGTCTAGGCCACCCGAACTCTGATGTACTTCGCACTTTGTTTAATTCTGGATTATTGGGAAATAAAGCATGTTCTTCTCTTGATCTATCTTTTGATTGTACATCATGCAAACTTGGCAAAAATAAAGTTCTACCTTTTCCTCATCATGCATCTCGTGCCTCACAATGTTTCGATATTATTCACAGTGATGTTTGGGGGATTGCATCTGTTGTTGTTTCCCATGCGCATTACAAGTATTTTGTTACTTTCATTGATGACTTTAGTTGCTTTACTTGGGTTTACTTCCTCCGAGCTAAGGCCGAAGTTTTTTTAGTCTTTAAGTGATTTCTTGCACTTCTTGAGACTCAATTCTCTGCCAGCATCAAGGTCTTGTGCTCTGATTCTGGCGGCGAATACATGTCTAATGAGTTTCAGGACTTTCTTCAAAGCAAAGGGATCATCTCTCAGCGTTCTTGTCCTTCGACACCACAACAAAACAGTGTTGCTGAGAAGAAAAATCATCACCTTCTTGATGTGGTAAGAACTCTTTTACTTGAATCATTTGTTCCTCCTTGTTTTTCGTGTGAAGCACTTTCTACTTCAATTCATTTGATCAATTGATTACCCTCTCCTACGTTAAATCATGTTTCTCCTTTCTTTAAGTTGTTTGGTCATTCTCCTTTATATTCTAATCTCCGTACATTTGGTTGTGTTTGTTTTGTGCATCTCCCTGCTCATGAACGACATAAACTTACTATTCAGTCTGTTAAGTGTGTTTTCTTGGTTATGCTATCTCTCAAAAGGGTTATGTTTGTTATGATCCCCATACTCGTCGTATACAGGTTTCTAGGAATGTGATTTTATTTGAAAATCAATATTTCTTTCTATCTCATGTTGAGCTATCATCTGCATCTTTATCTCTTCTGCCTAGTTTTTTTGATTCCCCAATAATTGTGAAAAGGTTCAAACCTGGTTATGTGTATGAAAGACATCGTCGACATGAGTCTGGTTCCACTTCCTCTGTGCCCTCTTCCGATCTTGATCTGACGCCTGATCTTGCTCCTACTTCCACCACTCTTCGTCGGTCTACTCAAATTTCTCGACCCCTGATTGGTATGGATTCTTCTCCACTCTCTTGTCGCTACTTTATCCATTATTTCCATTCCCTTTTGCTACAAAAAGGCCATAGAACATAAGTGTTGGCAAAATGCAATACAAGCAGAACTTCAAGCACTTGAGGAAAATCACACTTGGGGATATTATTCCTTGTCCTCCTACAGTCAAACTTATTGGGAGTAAATGGGTTTTCTCTATAAAACTTTGTTCTGATGGCTCTTTGGACCGGTACAAGGCTCACCTCGTAGCTCTGGGTAACAAACAGGAATATAGGGTTGATTATGAGGAGACATTTGCTCCTGTTGCCAAAATGACCACGGTTCGAACCATCTTAGTTATTGCCGCTTCACAGTCGTGGCAACTACATCAGATGGATATGAAGAATGCCTTTCTTCATGGTGATCTCCAGGAAGAGATTTACACGAAGCTTCCCTCGAGTATGACTACTTCTTCTCCTCATGATGTCTTTGAGCTAAGGCGTTCTTTGTATGGGCTCAAGCTGGTGCCTCGGGCTTGGTTTGAGAAGTTTCGCAGTATATTTCTTTCCTTTAGTTTTACACAAAGTCAGTATGATTCTTCTCTCTTCTTCCACACGTCTGTGTCGGGAATAGTCCTTCTCTTAGTTTATGTGGATAATATTATCATTATTGGCACAGACTGTGATTTGATTACTAAGCGTTAGCAGTTGTTACATGCAACTTTCCATATGAAAGATCTTGGCCAGCTCACATACTTCTTAGGATTATAAGTTCATCATCGGGCCAATGGTATTTTCGTGAACTAGCATAAGTATATTCAAGATCTTATCACTTTGGCTAGTTTGGAGGACACTTCTTCTGTTGATACTCCTATGGAGGTAAATGTCAAATACAGGAAAGATGAAGGGGACCTTCTAGATGATCCTACTCATTATCAACGTCTGGTTGGGAGTCTTATCTACTTGACCACTACTCGACCTGATATCTCCTATGTTGTTCATCAGGTCAGTCAATTTATGTCTTCTCCTCAGCATCTCCATCTTGCTGCAATTCGACGTATCATCCGCTATCTTCAAGGTTCACCTACTCGTGGGTTGTTCTTTCCTACTGGCTCCTCTCTTCAACTTGTTGCCTATAGTGATGCTGATTGGGCTGGGTGTCCGGATACCCGTCGATCTACTACGGGTTGGTGTATGTTTTTTAGGTGATGCCTTAATTTCTTGGAAATGTAAGAAACAAGATCGTGTTTCTAAATCCTCTACTGAGGCCGAGTATCGTGCCATGTCTACTGGTTGTTCTAAAATTGTATGGTTACGCGGTCTTCTTGAGAAGCTTGGGTTTCCTCAGACCACTCCTACCCCTCTTCATGCTAATAACACTAATGCTATTCAAATTGCAACCAATCCCGTTTTCCATGAACGCACCAAACATATTGAGATTTAGTCATTCTATTCAAGACACCTTGGAAAGTCGGGTGATATCTCTTCCTCAGATATCTTCTGATCTCCAAGTGGCTGATGTCTTCAAAAGCTATGACTCGACAGCGGCATCAATTTCTTGTTGGCAAATTGGTGCTGGTTGACTTACCAGCGTCAATTTGAGGGGGGATGTTACCGCATACAATTTTAGGAATTTATATAATTTAGGACTCTGTTAATATTAGCTGTAAAAATTATCTTACCATGTATAGATGCTGAATATTAGGAATCAGTTAGATGCCGTGTATAGAATATATTTTTGTGTATAGATGGAACTGATATAAAAATGAAAGGGGAGAACTCATAGAGGTAAATTTTTCCAAAGAATTTCTCTGTTTTCTTTAATTTGACACTCATAGTTTTAACATTTACCTGGTGGTTTAGTGCAAAAGTTAATATTACCAGGAAGTGGTTTGTAACTGATCCTAAGTACAGGGCATTGTTTTGTTATTAATTCTTTACCTTTCATCATTTTCTTACATTTTCTCAACAGCCAACGAGGGGGTAATTGTACAATAACACCAGAACTCTAGAAAATGTAACCATACATCTACCTGTTTGGCTGCGAGTAGTTCGCGGCACTGCTCTTTCATAGATGACAATTCTTCTTGAACTTTCTTGATCCGAGACACAAGCTTCATCGGATTTGCCTGCGAAACAAACAAACAAACAAACAATTCACATGCCACAATGAAGAAAAGATCAAACAGATAAAAGAAAAGAATTGTGCATGAAGATTTGGGTTTGTGGGTCTTTTTTAAGTTACACTGTCAGGGTAGATTTGTTGGAACTCCTTTTCGAGTTTGTGCTGAATCACTGTGAGGTCATGGTTACCCTTTGTAAAGAGATTCACCAGACCGTCCACTGATTGATGGTGCTGGGTTTCAGGGAGATGATGATGATGACGATGCCCCATTCTCTCTCTCTCTCTCTCTCTCTCTCTCTCTTGGAAGGAAGAGGAGGGGAAGAGGGGAATGGAAAATGTTTAAAATATTTTGATTCGGGACCCCTTAAATTTCAAATTTTCATTAGGTCAAATTATACTTTGACCACTTTAATTATAAACTCAATTTCATTTTGAATCTTGAACTATTAAATTTTTTATATTTCCCTCTCAACTACTAGAATTATTGCACATTGTCCCAAATGCAAACATTTGCTATCTTTTTAGAGAAAAATTATCAACATGTCAAGGGCAAAGTGCAAAAAAAATCACATAATTTAGAGAATAAAATAAAATAATTTTTTATCAAATTTATAGCAGATATTAATAATTTGGGTATTGTGAAATTAATCTCATAGTTAAGAGTATAATATAAAAAAAATGAAAGTTGAAACGAAAATGTGAGAAATAATCATAATTTAAGAGATTAAAGTGTAATTTTTCCTTTCACTTAAATGTTAAATTTAGATTATAATCGATCAACATAAATACCATGTGTTTTTCCATTATCATTGGTGATTTGTTATCGTTCATATTTGACAGTATCATCTAATGGTCTTATAAGTGTATTCAGACGTTGGTCAATTGTCGTTAGACTATTGATCACGTATATGTGGAGAGAAAATAAATTGAGAATTATGACCAAAATAATTTAGAGAATACAAAAATAAGTCGAATACAAAAGTAAGTCCATTGGGAACACTTTGATGTATTTTATAAATTGACAAGGGTTACCAAGGCAGCCACTCAACACCCATCACAACTGTTGACGACGGTTGTGTGCTGCCCTTCTTGAATCGCCACCAACTGTTGTCGTTTGAATTATCTTTCTCTCTCTTTGTGTGCACAAAAAAACGTCACTAATGTCCATTAATCCACCGTCTTAGAGCTCCCACTTGAATGTACATGGACATGACTTGAGAGTTTTCTAAGTTGGTATTTACCTTCGATGCCAAAACTTTGACTTTCACCAACTTTTTATCTATAACCATTTACAATTTAATGTTGGAACATGACGACTACGCACATTTTTACCATCGAATTTGACCGCACTCTTCTACATATGATCCTCATTGGTAGTACACTTCTATTGACTTCGATTCACTCCATAACAAAAGTGATGGGCATTAATGCTCTATACTAGGGGTTATAAGATCCACACACTTAGTATCATTGGCAACTTCAACCAAACACAAATTTAACAAATGTGTTGGCCTACACTTGAAATTTGATCAAGTACTTCCTCTTATACTCATACAGAGGCTTTCCTCGATACACCTTATCGACGACTTAATATACCATGCACCTAGGTGTTTATGTAAAGATTTCATAATGCCTCAAAGTGGGATTTATACTCATGAGCATGTGATAGCTTTGGTTTTTCAATTGGTGTCTTCTACCTTTTATCCGACTAATTCTTATCATTTAATCAGATGGAATCACATCTTTCTATAAAATTTAGGCATTCCCGAAATTTCTCTAAATATGTCATTCACCATGTAACACTGCAACACCTAGATGATTCCAAACTCATTGCAGTTACATGCTCACTGAATTTTTCCAAATTCAACCCTTTTGTCATAGGGTCAACCACCATCTCCCCCAAGGGGATATAATAGACCTTTATTTCTCCACTATATCTTAAATATGGTGATAATTACATCAATGTGTTTTTCTTTAGAGTTGTTAGCTCCACTTTTTATTAAAGATATAACGGACTTATTGTCACAAAACACATTGACCGGCCTATGAAGTATACCTAATTTTAAACTATCAACAAGGCGTTTTATCCAAACAACCATACTTACTGTCGTACTGCACGCTATGTATTTGGCCTTCATGGTGTACTTTGCAATACAACCCTATTTCTTTATTAACCAAGAAACAACCATTCCACCAAATAAGAATATATAGCCACTTGTAAATTTTTTATCTTCTACATCATCTGCAAAGTCTACATCTGTGTATCAAATAACTTCTAGATTGTTTAATCTAAAAAATAATTGCATACCTGTCGTGCCTCTCAAGTATCCAAATATTCACTTCACTACCTGCCAATGTGCCCTTAGATTGGATTAATACCTACTTATCAATCATATTGTATGACAAATGTTTGACCTTGTACTTGTCATAGTATACATAAGGCTATCCACAACTTAGGCTTAAGGGACCTTAATTATTTTCATTTGAACTAGGGTACATACATTTACTTAGACTTTGACCCACGCAAACAGGAGTGCTCAATGTCTTACAAGTATCCATACCGATTCTTTTGAACACCTTTTTCATATACTTTTTTTATTCAAATATAAGAGTAGAATTTATATATCTAGAAATTATAATTCTTAGGACATAATTAGCCCTCCTATGTTCTTCATTTTGAATTTGGATACCATGAACACTTTGGTTTCTTTTATCATATTTGCAAAATTTTCCTAACAATAAAAAATTGTCTATAAAGAGCAACAAAATAGTTAGTTTATCATGGTGTTTCCAAACATATACAAAATGATCTAAAACACTTACTTCAAATCCTATTTCAAGAATTATCTGGTAGAACTTTAATACATATTCCCTATAGGATTGTTTGAGTTCATAGAGGGATCTTTTTAATTTGTAGACTTTGTTTTTCATGTCATCTTCACATCTAAGATGTAGCTCAAGATTCATCTTTGCCACAATTGACATGAGTATCTTGATTGAATCTATTCCAAGTTTTTGAGTAAACCCTTTAGCCACCAATCTTGTTTTATACTTATCTATTGACTCATCTATTTTCAACTTTTTTTAAAGACCTACTTGTAACCAATGGTTTTCCTCTGTTCAGGAAGATCCACTAAATCCCAAACTTCATTTTTGTTAATTGAATCAACCTCTTTTTCATAGCTTGAAGTCATTGATTTGCATAGCTACTATTGACTGCCTCCATAAAGTCCTTAAGATCTCTTCTAACATTTTGTTTTCATCTAGACTAAAGACAAAATGATCCTTTAGTTTTTGAGATTGTACTCTCTTCTTTTTACTCCCACTATTCTCAACCTATGGACCTTGTTCACCTTGGTCATCTATTATTTTCTAATCATTGATATTATCAACAAGACTTGTAATACCATTATGCACATCATCAAACAATTTGACTTGATCAATGTGATTTTTTAAATGGTAGACTCAATAAGAATAGCATCTCTGCTTTCAATCAATCCCTTATTCGAATGAAATAATCTATATCTAATTCCATTCTCAACATATCCTATGAATTCACATTCCCAAGTCTTTGATCCTAACTTAGCTCTAAGAGGCTTCAGAATAAGAATAAGTGCTTTGCACCCCTAAACATTAAATTTAGATACATCAAGCTTTGTTCCAATCCAATATTCATAAGCGGTCAGTGGTTTTGCCTCTGTCTTGATCAATTTAAAGTATAAGTTGTAGTAGATAAGGCTTCTTCCCAAAAATATACAAAAAGATTAACATCATGGACCTTGTCATATCCAATATAGTCCTATTATGCCTTTCTGCAAGGCATGGTATATACATGTCTTATACAATTCTCTTTGAAGAATTCGTCAAATGCTTCAAATTCATCACCCCTATCATTATTCAATGCTTTAATTGGTCTACCCAATTGTGTTTCTACTTTCATTTTATACTCGTTGAATCTTTCAAGAGCATCAAACTTATGTTTAATTATATAGATGTGACTAAGCCTTGAAGAATCATCAGTAAATGTTACGAAGTATTTCATTCCTCTATGACCTGTTGTTCTTTAGGATCCACATAATCTAAATGTACAACCTTTAACAAATCCAAAGACTTCCAATGTTTTGCAAAGGTTTTCTAGCCATTTTTCCTTTAACACATGACTCACAGATATGAAAGTCTATTGTATTGATTTGAGGTATAAGGTCTAATCTACTCATTATGAGCATCTAGTCTTTATTGATGTGACCTAATCTTAAATACCATAAATATGAATTGTTTTCATTAGTTGAAACATTCTTGTACTCAAACATGAAACTTTATAGCTATTGATAAGATACATACCACCAACCCTTGAACCCTTCATAATTACACTATTATCCTTTTGGATGTAAGCAAAAGCTGACTTGAACCTTATATCATAACCCCTTTTGTCCAACATAGACACTGATATAAGGTTCCTACTAACATTGGGCGCAAGTAACACATTCTTAAGGATCAAGACTGACTTCTCACACTTAACTTTGTAAGTTATTTCTATTAGGACATCACAATATGTTGTTTTTCATGTAAATATGATGCTCATCTAGTACCTTTTCATTGATCTTTGAGAAGTTTATCTTTGTCTCTTGCGATGCGATTAGTTGCCTCAGAATTGATCCACCATTACTCCTTTGAATCTTCAAGTAGCTTCGCTTCAGGAATGATAATAAATGTCTCTTTATGTTTGCCCTTTTGCTTGTTTGGACACTTTTCTTTGAAATACCCTCTTTGTCCATTAGGGAAAAACGCCCCTTGTTCTTATTGTTGAACTTTCTAAATCTAAATCATTGTTTTCCATTCTTCTTTCAATGTCTTCGTTTCTTGTGTTGCATTTTTGATTTTAATCCAGATGCTTCGATGATCAATAAATTTTCACTATTAGTATCTTTTATCTTTATATTCTTTCATTCATCCTCGAGTGCTAATAATATTGGTAATGTGTCATAGTTATGTTCTTTCCTCCATAGGTCAATGAAGTAACCACATGATCCCAAGAGTTTGGCAAGCCATTGAGGATCGTGGTCACTTGTATCTTGTTAGAAACTAGGTGGCCAACAGATGATAAAAATCATTTGTAAGTATTTCATACGGAATACATAATCCACCAGTTTATCGCCCTCGGACATATGCATCCCACTAAACTTGTCTAAAGGCAATTGTACATGCGTATCAAACACAGGATTATATTTAGTATTGACTGCATCCGTAATTTCCTTAGCAGTTTTGAAATC